ATTATGTATCAATATCCTCCTATGGAAGATTCAGGAATTTTTCTCCTCAAGGGAACGTGTGGATACTGGCGAAAATGGATGCGCAAGGTTGTTCTGTCTTCGCCACCAACCTGCAGCAACAAAAACAGCATTGGGGTTTTGCTAATGTACAATGTCGGAGATGGGCGTAACCGTCTTGCTTTCTGCACGCCTGCAGATAACAAATGGACAAAGCTTGACGAGCACGAACGGTACCTAGATGTTACGAGTGATTGCCATCGCTTCTATGCGTTACGCGAAGATTACAGTGTTGAAGTCTGGGGTTTCCCTAACTCCTCTGCCATCAAAAAGTTGGAAACTATCCCAGCTGGTGCGCCCATGGTAGCAAAGTTAGATTATAATTTCCAGCTTTACATGGACAAAACTGATGCCACTGATCTATTTTTGGTTAAAACTGGTGCAAGTGATCTGTTCTTGGTTGCGATGGTCGACTCTTCGGCCTGGGAAACGGTTCGATTTGATGTTTATAAGCTCGAATATAATCCGGATGGTACATCAAGATGGAGAAGGGTGGAGTCCATTGGCAAGTATGCAGTGGTTTTGGGTTCAAACCACTCCATATTAATCTCACCCCAGGAATTTGATCATGCTCCAGGATATCATGAGAACTCCATCTACTTCCTCCATGCATCACCTTCGTTCAGCTATGATTTAATTGTGTATAATGTGAGAGAGATAGAACTGAAAAAAGTCTGTTATCTGGGATTATTAAAGCAACCAGCTTACTGGCTCGAACGTTATCCTTTTAGCACTAGTGACTAGCTAGGGACTAGGGTGATTATTGTTAATTAATCTTTAAACATTATATTTTGCTGAAGCTTAACATATAATTTGGCTTTATTTTTTATTTTATTTTTAACTTTGTGCTCATGTTATTGTAATTGATTTCCTTGTTTCAATATGTATTTATTTCTAAATATTTCTTCCTGTAAACTTATTTTCATAGTGTCTTCTTCCTTCTTGTCTTTGATCATATTGCCTTATCTTGTACATGTTAAACCTACAAAAATCGAGCACCTACGGTGCACCCCAGACCACCATAACTGGAGCACCAGGATAGATGCACAGACGCCTGGTAGCATACAAAGCAAGAACTTGCATGGAAACAAAAGATATCAAATGTTAACCAAGGTGGTTGGTGTGAGTGGTTCGGCACTTTCATTCCTTAAGAGAGGTCAGGGGTTCGATCCCTGCTTTCGTACGGAGTCACCACTTTGGCCAGCACTTTACCCCTTACGGGCCGACCCGGTGTGAGTGGGGATTAGTCTGGGTTCTGATTAAGGCTTAAAGGTGCCACCCATAGTTGGGGCCCATCCAGGACCACCTCATGGTTTAAGACCAAAAAAAAAAAAAAAAGATATCAAATGTTGTGCATCATTGAATCATTACCATTGACTCAACAAAACCTTCACAAACCCACTTATCTTTTACTTTTCCTCGCTCTGCAAAAGCCCCAATTATTGCGGACATAAACAATGAAATATGAAGAGGGAAAATCTCATTAACGCACATAAGCAACCAATTACTTTCTGATTTGAACTAGTTTATCAGAAACCACGCATCCTTAGGTAGCTGGGTCGAATCCGGCAGGTCGGATTTTCACATACCAATTTTTTAAATTATATTTTGTTTGTTCCCTTGCCTCGCCTCAAGCAGGCGCACACATTACCTAATCCATAAGGTATCCTGAATAATGCAAACTTCTTCTCCAAATACAATATCTTTTTATTCCGACTTCTTTTGCCCTTAAACTTGTTCTGTTCTACATACACACAACAAGCTGCTTCTCCTTTATTACTCAGTTTCGTCATTCTCCATTCTCGATAGGGTTCTCTTTTCTCAGAATCTCCGAAATATTGGTTCAGCGTCTGATCAAGGTCACACATCAATGGCTGACAAAACAGCCATTCGTTCCAAAAAAACAAAACATAGCAGAACAAGTTGGTCCGAACTTCCAATTGACCCTTTTGAATTGATCTTATCAAAACTGTCCCCAAGAAACATACTGCGGCTCGAAGCAGTTTGTCGTCCATGGCTTAAGGCCATCAAATACATCTCACGCTCATCGCTATCCTTCACTTGCTTACCAGAGCCGCCGCTGCTCCTTGCTTTTCAAGACGAGGGTAAAGATGGTGTTGGTTTTTACAGTCTTGAAGGCAAGTTTTACAACATGCCTAAACAGTTATGCCATGGAGATAGTATTTGCATTGGGTCCTCTCACGGCTGGCTGCTTTTCTTGAGCAACAAGAAACAACTGCTGCTCTTAAATCCCTTATATGCAGGGATCCAGCTTCTGCTCCCACCACTTGATACTTTTCTGTATAGCATTGTTCCAGTAATTATTCTCCAGATCCAGAAGTCTGGGAGACATTGGCGACAAAGGATGCTCAAGGTTGCTGTCTCTTTGCAACCAACCTGCGGCAACAACAAAAACATTGGGGTCTTGCTAATGTACAATTACCACGGTTCCAAAGATGGGCGAAACTGTCTTGCTTTCTGCACGCCTGCAGATAACAAGTGGACAAAGCTTGCCGGGCAGAAACCGTATGTTGATGTCACGAGCGATCGCAATGGCTTCTATGCCTTAAACGTAGATTACAGCGTTGAAGTCTGGGATTTCACCAATTCCTTGATTCCCATAAAAAAGTTGGAAATTATCCCCGCTGGTGTGCCCTTGGAACTAAAACTAGATGATTGGTTCCCAAAGCCCTGCATAGCCAAAACTGGGGCAAGTGATCTGTTCTTGGTTCAGAGGATCAGTTCTTTGCCCATGCCCCCAGTTCGATTCGTTGTTTATAAGCTCGAATATAATAATCGGGATGGTACATGTACATCTGGATGGACAAAGGTGGAATCCATTGGCAACCATGCATTGGTTTTGGGTTTGAATCAGTCCATATTCGTCACACCCCAGGAATTTGATCATGAGAACTCAATCTACTTCACCTACGCACCATCTTATGACACCCGTTTTTTATGTGCGTATAATTTGAGAGGGAAAACCATGAAAAGACTCAGTGATGATCTTGGATTAACAGGGCTTGAAAAACAAGTTTACTGGCTTGAACCTAGTCTTTTTAGCCCTGTAGCTAGCTAGGCTAGTTAGGAAACTTATAACAGTTTGGCTTTATTTTGTTAACTTTGTGCTCATGTTATGTATACTTATAATATGCTTTGTTTCTTCGAGTAGTTTAGAAAACCTTGTGGTTTGGTTTGTTTCCTTCTTGTCTTTGATGTGCATGTGTATAAACCTACAAAGGTCACTGGCTTCCAAGCCCTCTTAAAGCCAACATTTTGAAACTTGACTTCAAATTTCTGAAGAAACCCAACTTTGTCATACTATCCAGAGCCACAGGCATCGTTTCTAATCAATCTTGTGTATAGCTAGCTAGCTCCACACTTGGCAGTCACATATGAAATTATAAATTGATAGATTCTCTACGGATATAATTTCCAAACTAAACTAAGGGTTTAATTGGTGTATATTCCTTTCTTTTGATTGTTTAATACAAGCAATATTTAAGAATGGGATTTAAACACAAAACTTCGCGTGCAACCGTGTGGAGGTGAATGCTACCTCTTAGGGTCCATAGATGATTATACTTATCATTGTAGTATTGCATATCTAATGAAAAATGAACTCTCTTCTTGTACACCAAAACACATATTTTCTTGTTTTTTTTCTTCGAATTGACTTGCGAGTTGATTGGGTGTTTTTTTTTCTTTCTTTTTTTTTGGTCAATAGTTGATTTGGTTTATATTATTGTAAGGACGAATACAATTCGGTTAAATGTGACGGGCGAAACCCATCCAATTAAACTTCATCAAGAAGGCTTCCCAATTGACCCAAACTGGTTGCCAAGCACTCTTAAACCAACCTAGAAGTTACTTATTACCTATCTAGCATGCTAAATGCAAAAACTCTGGCATATGAATAAAAAATTTCGACAAACCCAACGCGGCCATACCGGAGTCCAAAGCCGCAGGACTCAGTTGTGGAATTTCGCTTCCTCAACTAGAGCAATTCAAAGTGCGACACAAGCTTTCAGGATTTCTAGTATATCTTGAATCAATCTTGTGTAGCTCCACAGCTTGCAGTCACATGAAAGTATAAACTGCAAGATTCTCTGAGACAACCCTTCCCCCGGCTATAACAGAGGCCACCATAACTCAAGGACCTACAGTGTACCCCAAAACATAACTCGAGCACCTGTGGCGTACCCCAGTTCACCATAACTTGCGCACCTAAGGTACCCTAGACCACCATAACTCGAGCACATAAGTTGTACCCCGTGCATTCTATACTAACCAATCATTTTAAATTTTCATACAGATACCTCTGCAAAAGAGAAAACATTAAGCAAGACTAATAATGGTCTGAGGTTTCAACCCCAATTCATAAGCACCTAGAGCTCGATGCACATGGAGCACCGAGAAATCGAAATAGCACCTAAGAAATAAGGAATGACAAGTGGTGATTAGACTAAATGGCATAACCACCATGAATGCACAGACACAGAGTCATGACACATATGGAACACAGACAAACCTGGATCAAATGCAAAATATGCAAGAGACTGAACAGCATAGACCAAATGCGTAAGGCATATAGATATACCAATGTTGCAAAGCAGAACCATAATTCCACATGGTTACTGCATACAACGCCAGAATTAGCATGGAAACAAAAGATCTCAAAAGTTGTTCATCACTGAATCATTACCATTGACTCAACAAAACCTTCACATACCCACTTCTCTTTTGCCTTTCCTCACTCTTCTAGACAACCCAAAAGAGCTAAAACTACACACCATTTGCAAAAGCCCCAAAACAATAATCCCATTAACACACATAAGCAACCAATTACTTTCTGATTTGGATCAGAAACCACGCAGAGGTTAAAAACGCCAACCAAACAGAACGAAAACCATCCATCATTCACACATCAATCACATATAGCATAAACACAAACTAAAATCCATATCTATATATAACCAATTTGTCAAAATAACCATCCACCCATTGATACGGCATACACTCTTTTGCCCAATTAAAGAAGAAACTTCATCCTAGCCAAAACCCTAGAAAACAGAGCAAATCGAAGCAAATCATTACATGTGTTCGATGGAGAAGAAGATGCCGTTGGTTCAGTTGATGTCGGTGTCGTCGAAATCGTCCTCGAAGGAGTTGAAGAAGTCAGCGTCGGCCAGCTTGTTCTCGCCGATGACGCCGTCGGCAAAGCTCTCGAGTGTGTCAACGTCGTCAACGTCCATGGCCATGGTGGAGCCCTGGTCGTCCATGTCGCCGAAGAAGTCCATCGGAGTCGGCCTCATGGCTCCAAATCTTCTCTCTCGCGCGGAAGCTATGGCTATGGAGCGCCTCACGTTTTGGTTCTCGGCAGGGGAGCTCGCTTTTTGTCTTGCTACTGGCGACGACATGTCGTTTCCTTCTTATGTTTTTGTACAATTTATCACCGACTCATTAATTGTAATTTTCTAGTTCTTCTTTTCCTTCTAACATCGGTTCAACTTTAAAATGGATTGGAAAAACAAAAAAACTTTAAAATCGATGATGAACAAAAAATCAGTCAAGAATAATTATACCTGTAAATTTTTATGAAAATATCCTTGAGCCTCCCCCTCTCTTGATTCTCGAACTCTTCTTCTATGCCCCCTCCTCTATGAAGTAGTTGTTTTCTTATGTAAAAATAGTCACCTGCTCATTATTTATACCAATTTAGGTCTTCTTTTGGCTAATGTCACTTCGACTAGAATTTGACGAGAAGTTAATGTGTATGATCGTGATACGAATAATGTTTTGATGTAACTGAATTTGAGGTGGTATGGTGTTATTAATTTCCTCAAATCATTACATCGTCCATTATATGATATATAATACCTATAGTATAAAAGTTCTCTTATAATGCATATTACAATCTGAGTGAACGCCACCTCAACATGCCATTTAGTGTTACTATCACGTACAATAACTTGATTACTTTAACACGAATTGAGAAAGAAGCCAAAACGAAATAAGAAACCTTTAGAATCCATGGCGAATGACAAATCTTGTTAGCAATATGTTAAATATTATTTTTATTTAACATAATTTATGAGTGTGTTGTAGTAGAAAACTATTAAGTAATTAGAGGTATCATACCTGCAAATTGTATGAAATTATGTGTCCTCGGGCCTCCCTCCCTTTCTTCCTCAAACTCTTTCTTCCTTGTCTCTCTTCTCTGTCTCCTGTTCACCCTCCTCTCTGAGTCGAATGAACCTAAAAGATGGGAACAATAGAATTGGTGAAAGAAAGCTACAATTGGTCAACACCACGAGTCAAACGGCCACAATGATGGAATATGGAGGATGGAATTGGTAAACGTAAAATTAGAACTTACAGCTAAAAAATTGTAAAGCCTTTTTAATCGTGTCTAGGGGACAACAAATAATCAACTCATCTTTTCGTGTTTAGTATGAAAGTAAAGAACAAGGTTTTTTTTTTTTTTTGGTTGCCAAAGTTAGGGAGGTAAATAGAAGAAAACTCACACTCGTTTGAACTCAGGATCACTTGAGAGCACACCAAAGACCTGGACCAATCCAACTAACACCCCATTGGTAAAGTTAAAGACCAAGTTGAGTTTACCCAAATTAGTTCTAATAACGTGAGAATGTGGAGTAATGAATTAAGAATATGATAAAAAAATCAATATAAAAAACAAAAAACAAAATAATAAAAAAACCAAGTTAATAAACTCCAATTGGAATGCAAGGATTATCTAGATCATGCCCCATAACATAAAACCTCTTTTTATCTTTTTCATTTTTTGGAAATTTTCAATTTGGGAATTCAATTCATTTTGAACTAAGTCATATCTTTTTCTACTCGGCTATACATTGTTGGTGTAATGTTTTTCTTATTTGAGAAAACCCTAAACTTTATTTAAAGAAAATAAAAGAAATTGCGGCTTTGCCAAAAAGTTCGGAATTTATTTTTGTGACCAAGAAAAGATTGCTTTTGGGTAATAAAGTTGGAGATGTCTTAATTGGACAAAAGATAACAAGAACGTGGCAAATGGAAGCTCACACCGCCAATGGAGACCAGTGTCCTCCTCCTCACACAGCCTCATCCATGGCGACCCAAATATTCCTTTCACTCTCTCTTTCAAAACCCACTTCCTTTATCTCAACCGAGTCGCTCCTACACTCCTAAGTACCGTCGTTGGGATTCCAATGCCGAAACCATTCGGTCCCAAAGATTCGGTTTTAATTTAAGAGACAAAGGCAACAAAGAAGAAGAAGATGATGCTGATGGCGACGAAGAAGAAGAAGAAGACTACAATTACAATGGAAGTAAAGAGAAGAAGAAAAGGCGGTGGTGGTCAGATGATTACTCGGAGATGGAGGAAGGCTCTGGTGGAATCTTGGATGAAGCCATTGATAGTGTCTGGATTCTCAAGGTTCTAACTTTCACTTCATTTTTGGTTATTTGTATAAATTGGGATTTGGGATGTTGCAATTTTTGGTTTGACTTGTCCAAAAACAAAACCAAAAGAAAGAAAAAAAAAACCCAGATGTTTTAAGTACTAAAATGCATCAATACTTTAGCTGGGTTTTGTTGTTTGTTTCAGTGAGAGGAAGCTCTTTCTTTTTTTCTCCCTATTGTCAAGATACTTACTTGCATTTCCCATATGTATGAATGCCCCCATATCAAGTTCATACTCAAATGATAGAAATCACTGTGAAAAATAGATATTGTGTTCTGTTCTTTGCTATCTTTGGCTGCTTTGGGCATCTTTCCATGTGCTGTATCCAGAGTTAGAAGTTAAACAAAATCCTTCTTAAACAAAAATTTTGTAAGATGAAATATATTTGCTTTTTGGTGGCTGCAGGTGTTCAGATCCTATGGTTGGGCATTTCCAGCTATTATCGTATCTTTGCTGCTGTCTACGGGTGCAAAAGCTTTCCTCATGGCTTTAGCTTTCCCCCTTTGTCAGTCAGCATTTTCACTGGCATTTGAGAAGTTGTGGGGAGGAACACAAAGTAGGCCAAAACGTAAGTCCAGGACCAGGAGGAGAAGGAAACCATTTGCCAGCACTGTAGGTAACGTTAAAATGGATGACGAACAAGAAACTAGCAACAAAAAGATGGATTATCAATCTTGGGTAGTAGGCAATGATGTCTCAGTTGATAATAGTGGCCAAGATGCATCAAGTCTTGGTGGGTGGGATGATCTTGAAAGAATTAAATCTGCACGGAGGCAATCTCGAAGAAAGCCGATGGGGAAGGGTAAGTTGAGTAAGAGAGAAAGGAAAAGTGACACACCTCTGCTGTTCAGGTTGTTGATTGCTGTTTTTCCATTTTTGGGTTCATGGACAAAGATGTTTTGGTGAATAGAGAATACAAACCAGCAGTCAACCTGGAGAATGACTTACATTGGTTGGCCTGGAAGTGTAGAGATCAAGCACTACAAGGTTTTTTGCTCCTGCTCTTACGTGACCTTCGGATCCGGTTTACATCAGTTGAAGCTAAGATCAAGGAATCAAGTTTCAGACAGAGCCAATTTGTGTACATGATGTTTTTCGATGGCATAATTATCCATATGCCATCGTATATACTCTTAAGTACAAGTTCATGGTACATTTTGTTCCATACAGTGTAGAATTTGGTATTTATCTCACAAGGAATTTTGTTGTACACAAAATCTCTTCTTATGGTACAGTTTTGATAACTGCAGAAATTTGTGGTTTACAATTTTAAGACGAGGTAAATCTAAATATTCTTCCTGGAAATGACTTTCATTGGATAATTAAATAAATAAACAAAATAAGTATTTGTTCTCTATGGGTTGCAAGACAGTGGCACAACTAATCCTCATTGACATGGTAAATTTCTTTAATTGATTTTAATCAAATATTTGCTATTTGTTTACCATCTTGGTTCTACCCAGACATTGAATATGTAACATTACATAAACAAATAAAACCTTGAAAGAATGTCAAACTATGAAAACAAATAATTGTCAATTTCCTGTACTGTAAACAATGCTAATGCACAAAACAAAAAAGGAAGGTCTTGTCTTTCAGAGGGTATACTGTCATCTTGCAAACAGCTCGACTTTGTTGCAAGCAGATGCAGGATCTTGGAGGCAGTTACAAAATGCCTCCTCATCTTTGGGGAATGAGGTTGGCAAGGGATGGTCTGGAACCACACCAACCTATAAGAAGCAATGTGGACAAAGTTAATTGAGAGAGAGAGAGAGAGAGAGAACAGTGTTAATTGATAGAGAGATAGAGAAGATAGAGAGAGCATCAGACCTTATCAATATCTGTGTGAGCAGGTGTCTCATAACGAGCAACTGTAACAACCAACCCGGAGCCATCAGACAGCTCAAAAACTGACTGAATCTTCCTGCATAGTGGGATGGATGGCTCAAGTCAGGAATACATGATTATATTTATAGGAACTGTGTGGAGTAAAAAAAAATTTACCCTTTCCCAAATGTGGGCTCTCCAAACAACACCGCACGTTTATTGTCTTTCAATGCCCCGGCTAATATTTCACTTGCACTAGCTGTGCCCTTATTCACCTGAAGAAATCTCAGAAGATAACATACACCAATTTTTCACCACACAATTCTTTAAAGATAATGTTTCATGGGAAAGCACATGAAAACACCACTCAATACTAAAATCAGAAAGGGAAATAACAATGAATCCTAGAATTTAAATTACCCACTTTTCAAGAATGTCACATTCTAAAGCAATAAAACATAGATGCAACTATAGCAAGGCTCCCTGTTAATAAGATAAAATATCAAAAATGAAAAAGTGGGTCCACTATTAAACAGTATAGAGAGACAAGCCCGAGCTTGATGACAGATGGTCAAAATGATGACAACTCTGCACCATTAATAATAGCATTTGCAAATGTTTGCCTATGTATCACGGAATATAATTGAACAAATCTAGTTCATTGTATAATGTATAGAAGTATACCAGCACAGCCAAGGGTTCTGACGGTGCTACTGCTTTGCTTCCATCAGTGTCGTATATATCTCGAACACCACGACTATCACATATATATACAATCACACCTTTGTCCAACCTGGAAGGCAGCATCTAATTGTGAGAACTTAGAATATACTGGACCTGACATAATGCAGCGTAAGCTTAATTTTGAAAGATTAACAATGTCTTTTTAAAAAACAAAAAATAAAAAACCGAAACTCGATTATAGAAGTTCGTGCTGCAGAAATTTGGATCAAACATAACGGATTAGAATATTAATAATCAAAAGACCTCAAGCAATGATGTAGTAATCTGGATGCTTTAAAGGGTTTTCTTCTTAAACATCGCTTGGGTTGAATAATGAGGAAACAAGCAAGTTTTCTCTTTTTTAACCCTTTATGCAATCTAAGAATCCTAGGCATGTTTCTTACAACTTTTAACTTGAAATTCATTTCGTCAGTATCTCTTATTATACATGGATACGATTTATCCACCACAAGTTCCAGAAAAAGAAAAAAAAAAACATACCAACAAACAGCATTTACTGATCTTGTGTTGGTTTTAACTGCAAATGACACTATTACAGCATAACACTGAAACAACACAGTTTCAAAACTCTGAGCTTAACTTAATCATTAACATCGTTCGGTTGAATAATGAGAAAGAAGCATGTCTTCTCTTTTTTAACCCTTGATGAAATCTAAAAATCGTTGGCATGTTTCTTACAGCTTTTAACTTGAAATTCATTTTGTCAGTATCTCTTATTATACATGGATGCAATTTATGCAACAAGTGTTCCATAAAAAGAAAAAACCCATACCAACAAACAGCATTAACTGATCTTGTGTTGTTTTTAACTGCAAAAGACACTATTATAGCATAACCCTGAAACATCACACTTTCAAAACTTTGATGCTTAATCATAACAATGACGTATGGATGTGACAACTCAAGTAAAAAGGAAAACCCTTGGAAAAGAAATAAACTGTCTCCCAAAACGTGACTTTCCACATTTCTTGAAATGTGTGAATCCTACATGTCCACATCTCACACGCCCAGCAGATCACATAAATCCCTTTTAGGCTCCAATGCATTAAAATGGCTTTCAACGAAATGAATTGTAGAGAATTGGTTTCTTGTATTTGTGCATATGAAATATGAGTTCAAAACTTTCAGGTGCATACAAAATGAATGCTGACATACAACTTTGAAAGGCACCACGAAAGTGTAAGACTTAAAGGCATGCAGTATAAGTTTGCCACAATTCTCTAGTGTAACTTACCAAATCTTGGCAATTTCAATTCCTTCTGGAAAAAGACCACCACTGCACCGAATTTAAGAAAACTTAAGCTTTCAGAAAGCCTGCCAAAGGGCAAAGTTTACAAGACCAAGGTTGAAAGATAATCACCTATTGTCTCGAAGATCCAACACAAAGGCATTAACATTATTACTCCTTAGAGTATTAATTGCTTCCTTGACAGCACCTACACAGCATGCAAGTTGTTAGACCAAATTGCAGAAATTGACACTGAAAGTATGAGCTCATTTGGTAATGCTTTTAATCTGTGTTCTTTTAATTAAAAAAGAGGAGAGAGGAAAGGGAGAGAGCAGAGAGAACAGATATAATGGTTTAAATGATAATGAGAACACATTCTATCTACTCTCTCTCTCTCTCTCTCTCTCTCTCTCTCTCTAATATATATATATATTTAAAGATGGAAATAGAAAACAAAAACAATGCAAAAGAGCTCAAACCATTCAATTACTAAATGAGATTGTGAAGAATAAGTCAATAAAATTCTAAACAAAATAAACAATGTTCCCTTCAAAACCATGCACAGGAGAGCTAAATTCGTGTAGGGGGATTGAGAACATAATTGATCAAAACAACACAGTAAAATTCTGAGTTCTGCCAGATGAGACACAACTTATATAATTTCTGTAAATAAACTAGAAAAATAGACCTTGCTTTTATGAATAGAAATACATTTCCTAACTTATTTATAAAACAAAAATAAAAATAAAATAAACATTTGATTTAGGTACCACTCCTTGAAAAACCTAACCGATAACAGCTACTAGTTCGGCTTACCAGATGCATTTTGATTGAACGATGTTAGTTTGATATAGCCAATCCTAAGGGAATCCTTTCCTGAAGCAGGCACCGCACATAGTCTTGACGTTACTGGATTCAGTGAAACTTTCTCCCGCCTAAAGGCAGCAAAAAGTATTTTAAAGTATTTTAAATAATGAACAAGAAAGGACAGAAGATTCAGACAAAAGATAATTTAAAAAAATGAAAATTCACCCCGCTCCTAAGTGCTAACCCCTAGAAGTTGCTCAAGTGTCAAAGTGAATACAATGACTTTGGTTAAACACTGCGCTCAATTTCCAGCCACAATGACAACTCAGCCCAAAAGCATTTTTAAAATGTCACCATGAACTTGATATCAATATTGAAGCTTTTTCAGCTTAATTTTATCAAAGCAATAAATCTTCAAACACTTTTGGGCATGCAAAATTGTATTTCCTTGAGAAGAAGATAAAAAAGAATTCCCTGTATAATGAGATAACAGGCTTTCTGTAGGGATTAATGAAGAACTGAACCTACATCAAATCCAGGTACTTTATTTCAGGCCCACTACGAACGGTCAATTTCACTGAACTTCCTTCAGATCCCCTATACAAGTAGGAAAAATGTGTTATAAATAAATAAATGAATTTAATGGGAAAGAGAAGTCCTGATTCTGAAACAACTTATTTCAATTACAAGGAATCGGACGATGACACTCAAAAATTCAAAGACCTCAAGATAGTGAGCTTCTCCAGAAAGTTAACTGATATGGCTTTCAACTACAGATTTGGTGACTAATCCACAAATAAATATCCTAGTACTTGATGGGTAGTTGGTAATATAGCCATTAGATAGCATAACAAACTTTTAGCACACTTTATAACTGTCACTTGGTAAATTTTATTTTCCACAGTTCAAAACTAAGAAACAAATAAACAACCATCAGCAAGATCAGAAAGAAATTGACAGGAAAACTACAGTGTCTTGAGTATGTCCATGTCAGATAAAATAAAGGAATATTTCAATGATAAATTGCAAATGAAATAAATACTATTGTAAGCCATATTATAATTGCATTTCCTTATTAGAACCTAATTATTTGGGGCGAAATCTAATTCAACAGGTTAAGTGGGTAAGAAACTTACTGTAACCGCTCTGCTGCATCATATATACCCATTGTTTCTGTACTTGTATCATCAATTGCCAGAATAACATCCCCAGACAAGATGCCAGCCCTGTTTGCTGGACCTCCTGGAGAAGCTGAAATAACAACAAGACCAGCAGGTGATCCATCAAATTTTGTAGGGTAGCCAATTGACAGCCCTATGCCTGTAAGAGCACCTTGAGTCCCAGACTGCCTTCAAAGAAGATATAAACAGATTTTAGGGACAATATCTATATTGAAATTTCACTGAAGAAATGATATCTTAAACTAACAGGTAGAGATTGTATTTAATGTGGTATCTAATAGAGTGTCACATTATTATTCAGGCCAAAATGCAAAACACTAAGACCATAAGAAGATATATCCTTGTACCCGTAGACTCTTTAACTTTTCAGGTTCCAGAAACCGAGTGAAAGGATCCTCCAATGTGGCAAGCATCTTCTTTATGGCCATATCTGATTGCAAATATGCCATTAGGATTTAGTGGGGGGAACTGGAAAGACAAATATAGTACTTTCAACTAAACGAAGTACACTAACAGGGATGAAGTTTATTCATATTGATACAGCACCCAAATACAGCTTAATAAAATAACAGTGCGCAACATTGAAACAATTTGCATGACAACTCACCTACCTTATTACTCATTTCGCTTCTTTTTAAAATGTTGGCTTCATCTTCATGAGGTAGCCACGAATTTTTTAGCACCTGACTATTTTCCAGGTATCTGTAGCCCCCCACATGTACTGGGTAATTAATTTTTTTGCTTCATGAGGTAGCCAGGAATCTCTGAGCCCCTAACTAATTTTCGGGTATGTGTAGCCCCCCATCCTACATGTACCGGATAATTACCAGGCGAACCCCTGGGGATGGCCCAAAATAGTTGGCATATTTCAAGCCCAAATCTACTGCTTCTTCAAGAAAATGGAAGTTCATGGACCAGTCCTTTGAAGTTGCAAAGTTTTTCAGCTCAGCCTTAATTCTTATATTTTCTTCTTATAAAAGTTGCACTGCTTTTATTATGGCATCTTATTTTAGAGTTTCTGGTGATATCTCCAACTTGGCAAGTGAATTGAGGGTTTGGTAGCTATGATCAGTGAATCTTGAAAACTCTCAAGCTGGAACAATGAAATTAAAAGTAGTGAATTGAGGGTTTGGTAGCTATGATCAGTGAATCTTGAAAACTCTCAAGCTGGAACAATGAAATTAAAAGTTCTCTATTTGGAGCAGACATTAGAGATCGTCATAAAGTTTCTGCAACCAAGGGGTCGGAAGAACCAAATAATCCTAACATGTTTCAAGTCACATATGGTAGTATACGCAGAAGTCTATAGTACAAAACTATTTATTAATTGAATTCCAATGAACCTTATAGAGGTGTCCTTTTAAAGAACAGCCTTGGATTATTTCAAACTATTTTTAAAATAGGAAGATGTCGGAAAATACAGTATGTAATGACTACTAAAAGGATGGAATCCATACATGTCTCTTCTCGTGTGTTCATCGGCTCATTGCGCAGTGCATTTTCTCTGTACCGAAACCAACTTTGTCCATTGAAACTTTTGTCAACATATGCACGGTCAATCATCCTCCATGCTTCTAAGAACAGAAGATTCTCTTCAGTGAGAGCCCCTACGCAAGTAAATAAAAGAACAAGAAGTAAATTCTCTCACCATTGCACAATTTGTGGCTGTCACTACTGCATTACCATAAAAAGTAAACTTACATGACGGACTCTCGCTAACGGAAACAGAAACTGACATGACCACCATCAGTCCAACAACGAATCGAACAAAAGCATTACGTCCAATTTTTTCTGAACAACTTATCACTTTATGGAGACTGCCAGCATATTTCTTCAATCGAAGTTTTTTCTTAAGCTTACTATAGCGTACTGAAAACAAACTAAACTGAGAAAAGAAACTCTGGTTGAGTCTGCATATCGGTAAAAGCAAGGCCCTATCCGTATTACCATAATTTATTGGTCTCTTAAGGGATGTAATCTTCAAACACATTAAGGGAGCCTTTGCTCGAGCTTCTACAATCCTTACTGGTGCATACTTCCGTTGCAGCACCTGCAAAGAGTCCAATTGAAAATTATAAATTATTGGAGTTACCATTACAATTAGATAACGCTCAGCATACATTATAGAGCAGTATCTTAAATCTTTCAGTAGACACTAGGCCTCTTTTGGATCTATTTCCAACATAAAATTGTGACTATTACAATTTACAAGATATTACCAACTACCTGAAAGGATTTCACTTTTTGTTCTAACTTGAGGGAAAGCAATCTAAATGCCATAATGTAGCAAAAATGATCAGGAAATTAAATGCCTTTCCTGTCAAAATGAGTCAAGGTAATGAAAACTATACTCAGTTGTTTACACACAACAAGTTGTAAAGCAAAGCAAGCAAGTGCAAAAATATTCAGCGTTCAAGACAATTTGACCCAAAGAAGAAAGCAAAAGGTTTGAATTTTATGAATAGAGAATAAACTGACAATTAAGCTGTTCTCTAATTTCATAATTGCTGGTTATGCCCGCTGAAAGAGAGCTAAAATGAGCCATCAACCAGATAGAAATCAATGAGAGAGAGAGAGAGAGAGAGAGAGAGAGAGAGAGAGAGAGAGAGAGAGAGAGAGAGAGAGAGAGAGAGAGAGAGAGAGAGAGAGAGAGAGAGAGAGAGAGAGAGAGAGAGAGAGAGAGAGAGAGAGAGAGAGAGAGAGAGAGAGAGAGAGAGAGAGAGAGAGAGAGAGAGAGAGAGAGAGAGAGAGAGAGAGAGAGAGAGAGAGAGAGAGAGAGAGAGAGAGAGAGAGAGAGAGAGAGAGAGAGAGAGAGAGAGAGAGAGAGAGAGAGAGAGAGAGAGAGAGAGAGAGAGAGAGAGAGAGAGAGAGAGAGAGAGAGAGAGAGAGAGAGAGAGAGAGAGAGAGAGAGAGAGAGAGAGAGAGAGAGAGAGAGAGAGAGAGAGAGAGAGAGAGAGAGAGAGAGAGAGAGAGAGAGAGAGAGAGAGAGAGAGAGAGAGAGAGAGAGAGAGAGAGAGAGAGAGAGAGAGAGAGAGAGAGAGAGAGAGAGAGAGAGAGAGAGAGAGAGTGCCTGAGTGGTGGCAGCCATGGAGGCGGAGTTAGGGTTCTTGTACAAGTTGGAGATTACGAAATGAGGGCATGAAGAAGCAGTTGCAGAGCTGGCGAGGACCTCCATCAATGGAGAGTCCGGGAGCTCTTCTTTTCCGTTCAGATGTTATCTAATATCCTTATCCCTTGTTGGGCTCGGCCTACATTCCGTATAGAAAGAATGGGCCTAAGCATTTCAGCCTCATTTGTTTATTTTATTTCCCTAAATCAGAAATTGATAAATAAAAATATAAACAAATAAGTAAACACTTAATTTATCAGGCCTACCACCATGGCTATGTATCTTAGGTCCCGTTTGTTTCATGGAAAGATTTATTTCTCATGTTTGGCAATGATGGAAAGTAATAGGAAATACCACTTTATTTCCCTTTCCACGTTTGATTTGTGTATAATTTGAAAATTAACTTTATTTAATTTTTCAATTATACCCTTGTTAGAAATATGAAATAAATAACATGAAAAAGAAGGGCCTCAAGCCTTTGAAGTAATAATTTTTTAGGGTTAATTGGTAATTTTTATGTTGTATTTTTCTTAGAACTTTCATGTAATCATAACAAGAAGTTATTTGTTTGTCAAATTTCTTGAGCACCATCTATTGTAAACATTCATCCAGTATATTGTTGGGTTCATTTTTATACATGATTTATCATGTCATTCACCCAATGTTTTGAGTTAGTTCTTGACAAATTATAGATTTATACTTCTTTTTTGTGTTTTTGTAAGTTTTACCTTAGTTGGAAGAAATATGAGCTAAAAGTGTATTATTGAATATAAATTTTGTTTTTGCTCATTTTCGTAGGTCAACTTCTTGGCCTTGGATCAGCATGCTCTGATGCTCAGATGAGGTTAAAATCCTCATGAAACTTGTTCCAATGGATGTTGACTATAACATATCCGAATTTGAGCTCCATTAAACAAGTATAGCCCAGCCAATTGATTCAGCATTGATCCTAACTCTGGAATTGTGATTTAGACCACATTTACCTCCATTGGATGTCACCCTCCCTTTTCTATTTGTTACCACACTTGGTAATAATATGTTACCTAGGTGATCTAGGATCTCATTCTAGCTATTTGGATCCCTCTTAAGGTGTTAAAAATCAAAGAAATGAGCAAAAGGGCAGCAGCCAAGTAAGGAAGCTACGAAGGAGGAGAATAACTCTTCCACCACTTAAGGCTTTTGTGCCTTCATCTCTACAAAATCTGTAAACTCTTTCTACTTATATTTTGAATTTGTGTTTGTAATAAGTATGAAGAACTAAACTCCATAGCTAGGGCTTAGGTTGAAGCCTTAAACATGAATACTCTATTGTTTTAATCCTTGAGTCTATGGATTTCTATATGTTGTTGATGAATTCCTCTTCACTAAATTAATATATCCTTGATGTATGTTTTCTTTGATTAATCACCTTTGAAAGCATGCTTCGTAAGATTGTTGGGATTATATATATCTTCATGATTTCCTAAGCAACTCATGGATGAAGTAAGAATCATTCATGTGAATTGGTTTCTTGAATGCCTAATGTAAACACCATACTATTAGGGTTCTTGTGATGTTCATATTCTTTTCAAACTTAATGGGTTTCCTTGATTGTGTAGGAAACACAAGTATTGTAGCAATAAACATGCACTTTACTTGTCTTAGAGAGAATCAATGTGTCTTAAGTCACTAAACTCGCTCTTGATTGCGAACATCTTCATCAATGTGTTTAGAATTCATTACTTGAGTGTTCATAAACATAAGTTGGATTGTTTAGGGTGGATTCCAAAAACCCTAGTGTTTGTTACATATTAATTTCACATTTTCTAAACTTGTTAAATTAGAGTTCGGTTACATTTTAAGCAATAGAATTAGTTCACTTGAATCAAACCCCCCCCCCCCCCCC